GGGCCCCGCAAAATTAGAGAGCTAATCCGATGCATTATGTTAATTAATCTCTGTAATTATCCTGACTTAGGTGCGGAGTTCGACCGAGCACCCCGACCTATTACGCTCGAGTTATGAGTGGTCGGCGGTTTCGGAACAAGGCCTAAGCGTCCGCGGGCTCAGGTGTCTGGCGTCGGTCTCGGGTGTTCAGACTATTCGGACTAGTCGGCCATCATATGGTATAAGTACAAATCTCACTATAATTAATATATATATATACTATATCTTATACTTACACTTTTTAACAATTATAAAAATATAAATGTAGATAAAATAATTTTTAATAATAAATATTATGTGAAGACAATTTTTTTTATACTATGTCTTGCTAGATAAGGTTAAAATTTTATGTTTAATCCAGGTTAAATGGTAATTTACATTTGAACAAGGATAAATTACGAGTCAAGCAAGGTTTACAAAATATGGATCCAAGTTAGAAGACTTTCCCCACACTAACTTCCTACAAAAGTTTTGTAGTACTGCAGATTATTGTTAATATAAAACTCCCCATTTTGGCCACTAGTAGAAGCCGAAGGTAGATTTGTGATGATTTCGTGCCTTGTCCATTGTTCAACATAAATGTCAAGCTGAAGACTGTGATAAGCTCCCAGCAGTCATATCCATTTGCCTTAGATTATGACAGCACATATTATGAAAAAAGAGAGGTGGTCTATGCTGATGAAATGTGCAAACCACCCCACACCTCCATGCCTGAAGCCATTTAAAGTACATCTTCTATATTCATACCAGAAAATAGCATGTATATATGCCATCAGGAAGTTGTTTTCTCCCTAGTAAAATCACATGAAAATTACCTTCGGTTCCACCAGTTGAGACAATTGAGACATATTCCCATACTCATAAATTTGTATCTCCAACAAATTTGCAAGCCAATCGAGCGGGCAAACTTCAAATTCTGTAGAGATTAGAGAGAGGCTACATCCCTCATACCTACCAAATCAAAGGAGGTGTTCCAGTGTGTTTTGTTGTAAATCACACAGGAAAAATTATGATAGAATAATTAAAATTCCTCTGTAGACTATGTGACAGGACCATGAGGAAAAAAACATAATTTCTTTTAGCAGACTTTCCTTGTGGAACTGACCCTCCTTAAATACACATTGGTTCCTAAGATTCCAGATGTTCCATTTGTGGCACACCACACAATCCGCCAATTTTTGAATCTCCGACATAGTAAGCAATGATCCAAGCATAAAAACAAATGTTGATCTATTAATTCATTGAGACCAAGGTGTGGGGCAATCTAACCAAACAACTTATTCATTCCATACCGCTACCACCGAAGGACATGTGCATAGTATAGGATTTTAACATATGTAATATATAGGATAAATATTTATTTTGTATAACTAAATTTATATTAAAAAATTCTTAAAAATATATAAATTATATTATAACTAGTATTTGAACTTTTGTATTAATAGACTAAATATTTATTATGTATAACTAAAATATATAATAAATTATATCAATCTATATATATTAAATATGAACGACTATCTACATGAGAATATTTTTAAGAGTTATTCTTCAATTGATAAAAATACATACATCTTTTTTATTTTTAAATTAAATTTTAACATTATTCCTATTTATACATGAATTATAATTATTATAATAAATGAAAGTGTTTTTAAGAATTATTTTTTATTGTGTAAATTTTTTGTTTATTTTCTCTAAAAAAAAGTGTTTTTAGAGATTTTTTTCAACCCGATAATGGATTAGATTGAATTAGATTTGTAGCATATTTTCATCATGTCAATCAACTTTAATTGGTATAATTTTTTATTTTTCAATCTCTAATACAAACCAATCAATTTGATTTATATTGGATATCATTAAACTTATTATTAAATTAATAAAAAAAATCACACTAAACAACTTATAATAAAAATTAACTAAAATTAATAGGATATTTATTTAATTGGATGAATCAATTCGACTCCTCAAAATCAAAATCCAAGCTTTGAACAAAAATAATTAAATTTTCTTTTTTTTATCCGAACCAATTTGATAACTTGGAAAAATTCTGATTTTTTTTCTTTCTATTTGGTTCAAATTCATCAGATCATTTAATTACGTTTGGTCTCTTGTTCACCCTTACTCTCATCTCATTCAATTTATTTTTAGTTTTATTTTAAATTTTATTTTTAAAATTATCAATAACTAAAAAAAAACCATGTATCACAACATAAATTAAAATGATCGATCCGTCACTTATCTGATCAACTACCGACAATAAGATTAATGTAAAACTTGCTAATTAATTAAGCTTTTTGACTTACATAGTTACATGCTGTTCAAATTACACAAGTCTAAATTATTGTCAAATATTAAATAATGATACTATAACTTGATAAAAATACCAGAGTTTAATTTCTTTTTTAATTCACATAAAATCATAAACACTCATAATGTTTACCAAGTATAATTGTGTGATAAAAATCAAGATCAAACACCATGTCCATTAATATTTAAATCAAGATAAAAACACTCATAGTCTATAATAATTAAACACGTAATAAAAACACTCATATATAATTTGTATTAAATTCATGTTATTATAAGAAATATTATATATAATAATATACATAAAATTATCATTATAAGTATAAAATATGTGATATAAATCTATTTAATATATAGTTATATATAATTTTAATATTGATTTTGAATTAGATATAACAACATATATTATATATTATTATAATTTATATTTATATTTTTTAACAATATATCAACACATATTATATATAATGTAGGTAAAAGTAATTTTTAATGACAAATATTATATCACTAGAATATATATAGTATTACATATGAAGTTTTTTTAGGGCATTATTAAAGAAATTATAAATGTCCATTTGTCCATTATTCGTTTGTCCTTTTAATTTTTTTTTTATATTTTAGCCTTGTAGAATAAAGAAATAACAATAATAATCATAAATGTCCATTTGTCGTTGTAGTCAATCCTAATAGTGTGTTTGGATGGAGAATTTAAATGGAGTAATTCATTTATTTGAAGAATTTCAAATTCTTTGGGGTGAAATACATTGTTTGGATGGAGAATTTATAAGGAATTTGAAATTCAAGCATTTGTGAAATTCCTTGAAATAGTAGAATTTCAAATTCTCCCAAAAAAGTAAGAATTTGAAATTTCTCATATTTTTTTTCTTCTTATTTCACTTATATATTTTATCTTATCTCTTATCTCTTCATGTTTTTAATTATTAAATATTCAAAAATATTTTTAAGATTATTAAATATTATATATTATTAATTTTTTAAAATTATTAAATATTTAAAAATTTGCTAATATTTATTTTTATAAAATTTAATTTAAAAATTCTCAGCATATAAATATATTGTTAAAATCAATTTTACTATGGTGGAATGAAATTATCATATCCAACCTAATAATTTAAAATTTGATAAATTTGAATTGACTTATCCAAACAAAATATTTTAAGAATGATAGAAATTAAAATCAAAGTAATTCAAATACCAAGAATTTAAAATTCCTTGAATTTGTAAAATTCTTCATCCAAACACACCATAAAGGTATTAATCAATGAATCAATTGCGTGGAAAGACAACATGCTCCATCTACATGGACAGTTCTTTATTATATATCTATCCTTCGTCTACTTCTCTTTTCTCTCATGGAGGTTAATAAACATTATTTCATTTAACCAAAAGTCAAATTTCTATCATTTTTTAATATTATCAAGAGAATTTTATAATAATGATATTATCTCGAGGGAAGAAAAAAATCAAATTTGACTTTATCATTTAATAAGGGTTGGCAACAGATATCCATAAAAAATTTCATTAATAGGTGTTTATATTGTAGTATAAAATTATTTTTATTTATTGATAATTTATTTTAAAATATTAAAATTTTATTTGTAAATAATTATAATAATTAAAAATTAAATTATATAAAAAAATTTAAAAAATCATATAAAGAATTATTTTCTTTTGTTTGTGAACAAGTTCGCTGTACTTTTCCCTCGTAGTTTTAAATAATATATTTGGGCTTTAATGCCCACATTTCACCAAATAATAAATGTTACATATAGTGACATATAAAAAGTGTCACTATAAGTATAACATATGTAGGTATATATCTATTTGACATATAACTACACACAATTTTAGTGTTGATTTTAAATGAGATTTAACAACATATTTTGTGTGTCACTATAGCTTATATTCACACTGTTTAACAATATACCAACATATATTATATTTATTGTGCAGATAAAAGTAGTTTTTAGTGACATATATTATGTCACTATAAAATGTGTGTCACTATATGACAATTCCATTATAGTGATATATGAGTTAATGCTTATTTTATATGGTTAAAATTTAGACTACTAGGGTTAGCCTAGTGGTTGGGTGGGGAGAGGTTGAAGTAGTTAGAAGCATTAGAACCTAGATTTAATTCTCATTGCGACCATCTTTGTAATCTTTACAAAAAAAAATATGGTTAAAATTTGTAATAAATAAATGTTCTTATATATATATATTATATTTTAAATTTATAATAAATAATTTGTTATATAATAATTTAAAAATAATGAAATTTAATCTTAAAATAAATGAGAAGTTGAAAAAATTAAACTATAGAAACTTTTGAAAAATCTTTGAAAACATATTCAACGAAATAAGTATTTGAATGATACTACATTAACTTGAAATTAAATTTTAGTTGCTCACACCACGGCGCACAGAGTGGGAGGATATCATGCTAATACCAAACAACTACTTATTATTATTTTTTGCTAGGTCAATAAATAACGACAAAGCCCTTTCATATTTTTATTTTTCCTAATGGCAGGCATGTCATCATCACAACTATAATCGTGCATGGAACTTCATATATATTACAGGCTAATGAGATCATAAGTGTATATTGTTGTTGACTTCCCTTGTCCTTCACAAATCACAACCCCTTCACCAATAATGGCTTTCAGCTTCAGCCAAAGTATGCTATGCTTCATCACTTTCACTTGTTTCCTTTACATAGCAAAGCCTTCAAACTTGAACCAAGACACGTTACTCCAGGGTCATCACTTGACAAAATCTGACCGTCTCATTTCATCTTCTGGTTGGAGCACGTTGAGTTTCTTTCAGTGCGATGGCTCCGAAGGTTTCTACCTCGGAGTTAGACCATCATCTGATGATTCATGCTTCGCTTATTTCTGGGTCGCCAACAGAGACATGCCAATCCATGATCCTAGCTTTCTCACGATCGACCAACATGGTAACCTGAAAATCATTTCCAACGTGGCAAATTCCACTTTCATGCTCTACAATTCTTCCGAAAGTTACAACAACAGTAGTACTATTAGTGCCATCTTGCAAGACAATGGCAACTTGATGCTTCGTGAGATGAACCAAGATGGATCTCTGAAGAGGTTACTATGGCAAAGCTTTGATCACCCCACGGACACGTTTATACCAGGGATGAAGCTAGGGTTTGACAGAAGAACGGGTCAAAATTGGTCTATAACATCGTGGAGAAGTTACAAGACTCCTTTGTCAGGGTCTTTCACCCTTGGCGTTGACCCCAAAACGAAGGAATTGGTGATGTGGTGGAGAGGGAACATTGTTTGGAGTAGTGGCCAATGGAGCAATGGAAGTTTTGTCAATTTGAAGTCCCCACGTTATCAAAAGGACTTTGTTTTCAAATATTTTTCTGATGAAAATTCAACTTACGTGACATATGTTCCGGTTGGTTATCTACATGGGATTATGGGGTTCATTATATGGTGGGGTTTCTGGTGCCTTGTACTCGTGCATCGGTGATAACTTTCTTTATGGTTGTTCAATGCCAAGTCTTCCCAAATGCAGAAATAATGATAGTTTATATTTGGGTAATTGGAGTAGCTATGGGGTAATGTCAAGTAAGGGGTTCGTATTTGATGAAAGTGAAAATCTCAGCAATTTTGATTGCTGGATGAAGTGCTTGAATAATTGCACGTGTGAGGCTTACTCTTATGTGAATGAGGATGCAACTGGCTGTGAGATTTGGAGTAAGGACTCTGCAAAATTTGTTGCCACTAATAATTTCACAGCTGGGGGCCGTCATATCTACTTCCTTCGCAAGAAAAAAGGTGTGTTCATACAACATATCTCACAATTAATATTTAATTTATTGATTTGCATTAAATAAATAGTACATGCAGTTTAACTATTATTAACTACCGAGTTTGGTTTAGTGATTGTCTTTGCTTTCTTTTAATTATTTATTTATTAAGTTGAACTAATATGTGTGAGGTCATATATATATATATATATATTTAGTCTTTTTAAATATAAAGTAAACTTGATCTTGAGCGGTAGGGGTTGATCCACGCTTAAGCAAGATCAGGGATTCGAATCCTGCCTTGTGTAGTCACCCCTGTCCGGAGTAGATATTTCAGGAACGAACTAAAAAAAAAAATTTAACTTTTTTTAATCATGTAATTTGAGAAAAAAAAAATCTTATTATCATTAATGAATCATGAATCGTGTAATTGATTAATTATTCTATTACGTACATCCCAAGGTTTGTTGTCCCAGGGGCCTTCGCGATCTGCTCTTGATCTTCACGCACATGCCTCCAACTCATCTGTCTTTTTTAGGTGTTCTCCTTCTTACATGAATAAATAATATATATATATATATATATATATATTACTTTGTGTCTTTGACTATTTTTAAAAAATAAAAATAAATAAAATAAGTGGTTAATAATAAATTTTTGAATAAGTGCACTTTGCATATCAAGTGAGAGATAATTTATTATTAGAAATAAGAGGGTTAAAATATAACTTTTAGATTAATTCTTTTTCACTTGATTAATTTAAGGGTTATAACCCTCTCATCTCTTATAATAAATTCAATGGTCTTTCACTATATATATATATATATATATTATTGTGTTGGCTAAGTTTTAAACCTGATCTCTCGATTATAGTATTATTATTGTAAAATCAAAACACGTTTGTAAAAGATTCGAATGGATTACCAAGACTTTCTCGTAATCTTGTGATGGCATGAGTGATATCATTACAAAAAACGTAAGCAATACATTTTCTACAGCACTCTTTTAAATATATTTTTTTTATTGATTGAAATTTATTAAAATACTTAAAATTTGGTAGGTCTCACTTTATTTATTAAAAAAAATTATTATGTAATAATATTTGTCATTATAAATTATTTTTAGCTATATTACATATATAATATATGTTGGTATATTGTTAATATATATATATATATATATATATATATATATATATTGTTAATTTTTTTTAAAATCAACATTAAAATTGTATATAATTATATGTGAAATAAATTTATATCTAAACATATTTTATCTATAGTGATAATTTTTACATGTCATGTAATATTTGTCGTACTAATTTAATAATTTTTTCCTAATTTTGTAATTTTCAATAAATCTGAAATAATAAAAATGAGTATATTAAATTATGTTATTAGCACTCCTCACGTGATTTTAAGTTTTATATATATATATATATATATATATATATATCAATGTTGAGATGTTTTTAAAGGATTGAAATAAATTTTTTTTTTTGAAATTAACTAAAGGTCAATTTTAAATTTAAAAGACAAAAATAAATTTACTTTAAATTTGAAAATCTAAAAAAGTATTTAAGATAATAATTATAATTTATCATATTTTTTTGGAATAATTATCTTAAAAAATTATATTAAGGTTATTTCGATTAATTAATAATATATTATTTTCTACCGAGAATGCGTGTTTATTAATCTTATTGTGATTTAATATTTCACTTATTTTATAACATTAAAAACTGTTAAGCTTAATCATAATTAAGAATATAATAAAGAGGAATTCAGTTAAAAAGGGGTGTGGATTATTAATGACTTGGTTTTGTTTCCTAGTAATATTTTCTTATAAAGCTTAATGGTATATATGTCCTCACAACTTACTTTAAATTCCACAAATTTGCTTTTAAAGCATCGAGGTAATTTATATTACAGTTTCAAGATTAGCAACATCAGAATTTCAGTTGCCATGGATACATTCTCAAAATAAGCAAGAGCTCCACTATCACTTGGCACTAATACTTTTCAATGCAGGCAAGGCAAAGATATGGATCATAAGTGCAATAGTTGGAACTGTCGTCCTAATCGTCTTGTGTTTCACATGCATTAAGTTATGCAGAAAACTAAAAGAAAAAGGTAATGTATCTTCAACATCAGAATTCAATAATAGTACAATATTAGCTACTTTAATTAAGTGCTGGTTATTTATTTAAGCCTGGCTAAAAGAACTTAATTATAAATATTTTTAGTTTGAAAACCTAAATAAAATTCTACAAATAGTTTAGGACCTACTAATTAATATATATATATATACATGTATTATATTAAGACAGGTTATGAGATTACAGTGCAGTTGTAAAATGTCAAATTTCCTAAGAAATTATCTTATTATTATCAAGTAAATAATTAAATTTTTACAAATTTTTAAAATAATATTAATAATTAAAAAATATTGTTTGAAGGACTTGATCAATGACTTTATTAATCTTGCCATGATATCAATCTGACTTCCATTTTTTTTTCATTAGAAAAAAGTATGTTTTTATCGAATATAAGATAATTTCTCTAAAAAATTTAACATATAGCAAATAGGTAAACTACATACACATAACACATCGATATAATTCTTGCTCATGTATGTAAACTACGTATACATAGCTTTATAGTCTTTAAGCTTTCATGTACGATGTGTGCAGCCGAAAATCGTAAGAAGCGAACAATGTTATTGTCTGAAATTGGAGGAAACACTGCAAAATCCATTGTATACAGTGAAAGAAGAGAACATAGGAAAGAAAAAAGGAGAAATGATGATACACATATATTTGACCTTCAAACCATTCTTGAGGCAACCTCTAATTTTTCTTCCACCAATAAGATAGGGGAGGGTGGCTTTGGACCTGTCTACAAGGTAATGTATTAATTATTAATATTTCATTTTTGTTTGTAATTAGTGTTTTTGGTTTTAGTTAAATATTGATAATAATGATGAATATATATGGAATTTGGTTATGAACCAGAGGGATTATTGTTAGGGGAAGAAACAATGAAGCTAACTGATAAAATATTTAAATCGGAATTGTTTGTGCTGATTGTACTTTAAAATTTTAGTCAATAAGTGTAGAAGATTCAAATAAAGGAAGAAAAATAAAAATAAAAATAAAAAAGGTGCGCATGAAATTTATCATACAGATCGGATTCTAGATAAATGTCTTCAATTTCATTGTGGTGCCATAAAGATAGACTCAAATTTCTGCAGTTAGGGATTTAACACATTCTTGCAGTCAGTTAATTAATCGAAATTCAGAACCAATTGATAAAAAATGAATGACTCATATTTTATTTTGGTAAATTAGTCTTAAAATACTCATAAAATTTGAACCATTTTATCTTCATCTAAAGTGTTGCTGACTTGACCGAGAAGAGATCAATTCAACTCCCATAATTAATGTTAATGTCCTATTTGACTAATAAAGCACATACAACTGAATTGAATTTTAAATTGTTTTGACTTTGATCAATTTAGTTATTCATTCTCATCAAAGTACTTATTAAAATTTCAATTTCATATTATCTCATGGATTTATCTTAAGAAAGAATATGAAGGAGTTGACAAAATTAAAAGCATGCAAATTTGAACTTCAGAGAATGAAGGAGACCGAGACTATTAAAGATTACTCCGACAAATTTTTTAGTATTGTACATAATGCGAGAGTTCTGGGGTCAGATTTCTTAACTATAACAACATATCTCTTGCTTCCACTAAAGCATTGTACATGGGATAAGAACAGGGTTTAAGACTTTTAGTATGAGTCAGAGGTACACTCTGGAGAGAAATTGTATTTGTATTTGTACGAGAATTTTGTATATAAAATTCTATAACAAAGAGAAAGAAAGAGAAGGAAGTGTAAAATATGAATAAAATTCTATAAGACGATTGACGTGTAAGAATTGAAGAAACACTTTATGAAAACTTTGTCAAACGATCACTCTTAACAAAAGTGGAATAGGTTTAGGGGATTATAGGGTCAAAAGCCAAAGAGTATTTGATGGGTGTGTTCTTTTGAACCAAAATGTAATATCTCTTGTTTCTCCCCCCAAAACTGCTAAAGCTCGTATTAACAATATTTTCTTTTACTGCTGATAAAGAAAAAATTGCAATTTTGTACTTTCTTAAAATGAAGATGTACTTGATTTTTCAGGGAAAGCTACCAAATGGGCAAGAAGTAGCTATAAAAAGGCTTTCCAAAAGTTCGGGACAGGGGTTGATAGAGTTCAAAAATGAAGCGATGCTAATTGTGAAACTCCAACACACTAACTTAGTGAAGCTACTTGGTTTTTGCATCGACAAAGAAGAAAGGATATTAGTTTATGAGTACTTGCCTAACAAAAGTTTGAATTTATATCTCTTCGGTATGCAAGTTTACTCATTAGTCATCCACACCCATTTCATTTATATTTTAAGATTGTTATGTAATTTGTTTACATATGCTTACTAATCTCTCCTTGAAAGTAGATTCCAACAAAAAGAGTGTATTAGATTGGAAGATAAGATGCAAAATCATAGAAGGAATTGCTCAAGGACTCGTATATTTACACCAATATTCAAGATTGAAAGTGATACATAGAGACTTGAAGGCAAGCAACATTTTATTGGATAATGAATTGAATCCAAAGATATCAGATTTTGGCATGGCTCGAATATTCGGGTTAATAGAATCTGAAGAATTAACTAATCGAATTGTTGGAACATAGTAAGTATTATTAATTTTTCTTGTTGTTTAAATAGTCATTATCTATATTAAATTTTATGTTTACATTTTTTTCAAACTTTAAATTGTTTGATGAACTAAATAATATTACCATTTCAGTGGTTATATGTCTCCGGAGTACGCAATGATGGGTGTCATCTCAACTAAAACTGATGTTTATAGTTTTGGCATCTTATTGTTAGAGATTCTAAGTGGAAAGAAAAATCGTAACGATTACCCATTCAATCTTGTTGTTTATGTAAGTTGTGTCAAATTGTGTAATTAATGAAGAATAGAAATATGTCATTAGGTCGGCAACTAACAAATTTTTTTTTTCAGGCCTGGAAATTATGGAATGAAGGTGAAGGTCTAATGTTAATGGACAGGGCATTGGGTGGATCATACCCACCTATCCAAGTGTTACGCTACATTCATGTTGGTCTCTTATGCACACAAGATCAAGCAAGTGATAGACCCACTATGCTTGAGGTTGTTTCTTTTCTTTCAAATGAAACTGCCCATTTACCACCACCAAAACAACCAGGACTATGTATCTTTGAAGACATGGAAGAGGTAGAACAACTCAATAGTTGTTCCATAAATGATACAACAGATTCATTAACATCAGGTAGATAAAATATCAACGCTTTTGAGAAAGTTCAAAGTATGCTAATAATTTGTGAATATAACAAGTGCAAAAGCCTCCAATGTATTGATATCTTGGGATTGGAACTCTCCAAATTTATTAGAATACTGGTATCTAAAGATATTCAAAAGTCTCGACGAGCATTATAAGGCCTATGTAGGATTTTAGTGAGTTGAGACTAGCATTTGTTAGAAGGGATAAACGTACTTGTTTGCGGTGTGAAAATGTCTCTAGCAATTGTCAAAGTGTATGGTCAAGCTAGAGGGGTGGGCACTAATTGGAACCAATCTAATGATTCAATGAAACCAAATTCCAAGAAATTTTTTTTTGAATTGATTTCGACTATAAATCGATTCAGGTTTGAAAATTAAATTTTAAATTTTGTTTTTTTAAAAGTCGAATCAAACTGGTTGATTGAGTTAAATATATTATGATTTTTTTTTAAAAGATAAGAAGAATTACAAAGATGGTCACAATAAAAATTGAACCTAGATCCTCATACTTCTAATTACTCCAACCCTTCCCCACCTAACTACTAAGTTAACCCTAGTGACTTAAATATATTGATTATTATTATTATTATTAATTTAGGTTGTAAAATTTAGACTTTTAGTGTAAAATAAATCTATTCATTATATAAGAGTCTCTCAACGATTTGTTTAGTGATATTGGCATAATGAATTTTTTTTTAACTTGTAATTTTGTTAAGCATGATAGGTTTGTAGACTTTGTTTTGAGTTTGTAATTATGTTAATACCTGCCAGATTTTGGATAATTTATAATGTTGATTTGTTGTGAAACGGATTAGTAAAATTATATATTTTATTAATTAAGGACATAATAACACATCTTTATGGAAATCAAGCAAGTTGTATAGTATGACAACTTTTGAGTTTTCTTACGATCGGGGTGCATGTATTTAATCAACCCCAGCTCTTTTCTCTGCTTGTTGACTCATCAACAATATATTTCTTTCATAATTTTTAATTCGGAACGTACCCTACTTATCTATATCTATATCTATATTTATATTTATATCTATATATATATAT